CGTTTTAGGTAGGCGTGGTTGACTCTTAACTTTTATAAAGAACATCTCTTTGGATTTGAGACTTTAGTCTTTGCAACTGTACAGATCTTCTTTATGCACCAAGAGCTTGTAACACTTCAAAGAGAAAGGAAAAATTTAAATCGCATCATATGACCCCTTTAAAATAACACAGATATATAACACTGGGCAGATTTGCTCAATCTCGTCTGATGAACAGCAGTGATATTTCTGTATTATTTATATAGTGTTGTAGTATTTATTTTTTTATTTTTTTAAATAACTAGATTTTTTTCCCCCAGTTTTCTTTTAAATTTTGATTAAAGTTTTTATAATCTTGTTTTGTGTTTTTGTCATTTTTAGTAGTTTTTGTTTTTTAAATATTTCTATTTAGCTTAAATTTATTTAAATTTTAGTTTTTGAATTAGCTTTTATTTTTATATTTTCAGTTTAAATTTTTTGTTTTAAAGTTTTAGTAATTTTAGTAATTTGGTAATTTTGTTATGTGTTTCTGCCAATTTAATTAGTTTTTTTTATATATTTAAAAAAATATTTGTAATATTTCTATTTAGTTTTAGTTTATTTTTATTTCACTTTCGATTTTAGCACTTGAACAAACTTTTTTCAGTTAGCTGACAAAGCAACATTTATCATTATTTTCTGCTTTCTTTCATTTCTATTTTCATAAATATTAAGTAAATATATGAAATAAGTGCAATTTTTATTTCAGTAATGTCCAAGTTGCTACCATAATTTATAGTTATGCAAAAGTATATGTATTTCAGAACTTTTTTAATTATTTATCTTTTTTTTTTTTTTTAGAATGATCATTTTTTAGAATAGAAGTGTTTGCTAATAATTAGTGCTGGGCAACGATTAATTGTGATTAATTGCATCCAAAATAAAAGTTTTGTTTACATAATATATGTGTAGAAACTTGGTATTACAAGCACTTCCTGTATCTGTTTGCCTCTTTAAGAAGAATCGCTTTATGTATCCCCCAATTGTAAGTCGCTTTGGATAAAAGCGTCTGCAAAATGACTAAATGTAAATGTGTGTGTACTGTGTATATTTATTATGTGTATATATAATACACACACATGCATGTATTTATTTAAGGAAAATATGTTATGTTTATATGTTAAATATATTTATATATAATATAAATTACATAAATATATACATATAAATACATGTAAATATATTCATGTGTGTGTGAAAAACAAAAACATAAAAAACAAATATATATGTGTGTGTGTGTGTGTGTGTGTGTGTGTGTGTGTGTGTAGTTGACGAGTCTGCAGGATTTCTTCGGTGATGATGATGTTTTCATCGCGTGCGGTTTGGAGAAGTTTCGTTACGCTCAGGACGACGCTGCTATCGGACACGCGGGGAAGGGCGCCGCGACCGCGTTTGTTAACGGTGAGATCAACACACACGTATATATGAGACAGAGTCCGCTCACACACTCCTG